AGAAGAAGAAGAAGAAGAAGAAGAAGAAGAAGCGAAGAAGGAATGAAGAAGAAGGAGGAAGAAACGAAAAAGAAGAACAAGAAACGAGAAAGAAGAAGAAACGAAGAAGAAGAAGAAGAAGAAGAAGAAGAAGAAGAAGAAGAAGAAGAAGAAAAAGAAGAAGAAGAAAGAAGAAGAAAAAGAAGAAGAAGAAGAAACGAAAAGAGGAGGAAGAAGAAGAAGAAATGAAAAGGAAGAAGAATAAGAAGAAAAAGAAACGAAGAAGAAAAAGAAGAAGAAGAGACAAAAAAAACAAAAACTTACCTCGAAGTTCGAGCCTTCGTGGGGATGGCGCGCGACAGTCTTTGAGGAAGGCAGGATGACGACGACAGGGCGGCCGCAGGTCGACGACGATGGCGGCAGCAGGACGACGACGACGGCGCGGCAGCAGGGCGACAACGACAGTAACGAGACTGGCGCGTGACGAAGGGCCGGAGAGTGGAGGGCGGAGGGCGGAGAGCGGAGGGCGTGGTGCACGGGGTGAGGCAGACCGTTCCACCGATCACCGATGATCGACGGACTAGATCAAAAAAAAAAAAAAACTTCTCAAAAGGGGCCTACCGGGCCCCGAAAAATAGCGCGCTGCTAGCCAAAATTTTTTTTGGCCTGTGGGCCGTTGGGCGGCGGCGCGAAAAAAAAAATTAACGGCCGTTTTGGGTACGGCGCTGAGGAGGCCCGGGTGCCTGGCCGGGGGTGTTGCACGGACGAGCGCCCCGAGCGCCATTCCAGGGCCACCTCGGGTGGCCTGGGCACCCGGGTGGGAAAGCTAGCTTCCTTCCCAATTTTGAAGACTAAGCCAGATGAACTATACATTCAGAATATCAATCCTGAAAAAGCGCAAGATCACACTTTGGGCCATGTGGAAGGAGAGGTGCAGCAGAACACTGGAAGGCACGAAGAACCCACAGGAGAAAGTGTGGGCGGCAACCAAAGAGATGATTGAAGCGGAAATCCTATGTCAATGGAGGAAGGTTAAACTCCGGGTGCAAAACAGTCCAGAGACAGAACAGGTGACACTTGCCAAATTCAGACGGGTCTGGTTGGTTGATGACAAAGTGGCTTGCCTAAATGGGCACGCTTTAAGATGGAAAGAGTGGCACAACTCTGTCAAGTCCGTAGGCCAGATGATTACTCAGGTACACGAAGATTCCTCTCCAATCTGGGCCTAGATGAACATCCGAGAGACACTTATGGCAGGCGACAGCAGAGTTTTCCCAAGGAATAGATGGGAAAATAGATTAAGGCGGTCTAGGGTTTAGGAACAGGCTAGGAGCAGAAACAAGATAAGCAGGGAGCAGAAGGATATAGATTAAAAAAAGGGGGGGTTAGGGTTCAAACTTCAAAGATTCCAGAGATTTAGATAGGGTTTGGGGTTCAAGTGTGGCCTGTTAAAAGCATGAGTAGGAGAGCAACAGTGGTAGTCCTGAAATAGAGCCTTCATAATTAGGAAAAGATACACAAGATTACCTAGGTTCAAGGGTTTATGAATTAGGAGTCTCGTTAAAACTATAGCTGAGGGTTTAGGGTTTAGGGTTTTAGACAATCAAGGCAAATAGGGTTCAGACTGGTAGGGATCTCATGAGGCACATGGGCGGGGATCAGAGTTTAGACAGAATTGGCAGCCTTTGTAGCGTCCAGGCCCTTTCTTGCCATTTATGTTCTATCTGACAGGCCATAATAGTGGACCTGAGAGGAAAGGGAGAAGCACGGCAAGCTGACAGTCAATCCTCCACGATGCTGGAGTAATCAATGCTGGTCAGGGTTCCTTCAGCCAGATGGAAGGAAGCGTATGTGGGTTCATGATGTAATATTTATTCTGACTTGCCGGTGAGGGTAAGATGCAGCAGAACGATTGAGGAGGCTGTAAGCGCACGGGAGAGAGTTTGGGTAGAGACTAAGGATTCGATACAGGCAGAAATTCTATGCAGATGGAAGAAGACCAAGAGAAAAGGGACAGACGACGAAGAGCAGCGGAAGAAGGCTAGAGACAAGTTCATCAAGTCATGGTTGGCAGGAGGGAGGGCTGCTGAGATGAGGTATGATTCCATATGGAGGAAGGAGTGGCACAACTCTGTCTCAAGAAGAAATCTGGAACAGCAAAGCATAGTATCAGGGAGCGGAACCCTCAGTTCGGATTCTAACTGAGTCAGTTCTGCTTTCGGGTCTCTGCTCTTGATCTACAGCGGAGGGGAACWGGATGCAAGTTGGTAACGCAGGTGAACAAGGGAAGCAAAAGGGTCAAAGCAAAGAGTCCCGGAGCAATGAGGAAGGCGATCCTTGAATGGGAATGTTATATCGGGGCGCAGTTAAGAAGGACGAGGGTTTAGGGTTCAGGGTTTAACGGTTGCTTAGGCAAAAAGAAAAAACAAGTGGATCGGGAAKGGCTCGGGTGGATGATCACAATAGAGGGACTCTTTCTAGGATTTAGCGATGAAATCTGGCAGACCCATTTGTCTGGTCTGAGAGGAAAGAGAGAGGTTGGGCAAGCTGGCAGTCAATCCTCCACTGAGGTGGAGCAATCAATGCTGTCCAGGGGTCCTTCGGCCAGACGGAAGGAAG